ATTGCTAGGATTTAAGAACAGAATTCTTTTTCTCTTATGTACCTCATACCTTTAGGACATGGACGATCATGGCTCTTCGCAACATTTTGTCTTTCCCTCAGTATTTTAAATCAAAATCGCGAAGATAACGGAAAACATTCGACAATCTTTCCTTAGAAAGTAATGAGAATTCCTATATATTTGATGTAATAAATATGCATACACCTGGGTTCTACCCTCACAGGAATAGGATTGGCTGGTGTCAGCCATAAATACAGGCTGATGTATAGGTACAGGACGCCTATTGACGACGATGCCCATTGGACTACGCCACTGGCTATCCTATTGGTCTACGCCTATTGCCTACACCTATTGACTGCGACTACGACGAGTACCAGTTCCATTACTGCTACCTGTTTGATTGTTCTACTCGGTTACAGTAGCCTAGAGCCCTCAGCTACTTCGATCAAATATATCCCTTTCCGGGACATATCAGTTGGTGACGAGATTCGAAACGACCTCACAAGTTAAAACAATATTAAATAAAAATAATCCACGGAGAGTCACCTACGTCTTGAATTTGTTTGATGTTTTTTTATGGCTTATCAACCCTTATCAAGCCAAAGCATATATGGAGTTGTAAGAATAATAATTTTATTTTATTTTTCCGTGTGAATCTTGCATTAACAATTTTTGAGAATAACAATGATTTTTCCAGATACGAAGTTCTACTATTTTTAAGCATTTCACCCCAAGCAAGGCAGGAAGCCACTAGTACGCAAGGAGGTTACAGAGAGTTGGAGTGAGAGCAAAGAGGAGTGATAGAGGAAAGGATGAAGAGAAGGATAGGGGATAGATCAGGGCATCTGGAGACGTTGATTGACATTACATTTGAATAATTGGAGATTATAGCTATCAGGGAAACAGGAAAAGGGGAGTGAGTTCCCCAGGAGAGAAGTGCGAGACATGAAGCTATTGGAGTAGAAGAGACAGTTACATTTAACAGTTTCGACAGTGAAAGGGTGACAGCGAGATGCCAGCCTAGTAGAACGCTTAAATTCATGAAGTCTGGGAATCAGCGAAAGCAGCTCCTCGGAACAGTTACTGTGAAAGTATTTGTAAAAAAGACAGAGGGATGCGACGGCAGACGAGATGCCAGATCAGGGCCAATTACATTGCATATCCGTCTCTGGATTTCATCAAGGACCTTGAGACAAACAGAAGGGGCTCCAGACCATATATGGCAGCAATACTCCATGCAAGGGCGAATTGTCGATTTGTAGATTTGAAGGATCGACTCCGGCTAGAAAAATTTCCTGGCGCAGCACAGGGAGCCAACTTTCCTAGCGGTGGACGAAGTTATTGATTCAATCTATTTATTCCATCTCAGGTCATCAGACAATGTGAGACCGAGCAGTCGCAAAGAGGTGCTCTCGTGGAGTTGAGCGTCAGACATTCTAATGGGAGGCAGGGATTGTTCTCTGTGTTGAGTAATAGAAAACAGTTTTGCTTTTGAGGCACTAAAGTTAACCAGCCAATTCCTGCCTCAGTCCATAACCGATTGGAGGTCCTTTTCGAGACGAACGGCCAGGTTAGTTTTGTTAGCGACACTAGATTTGTTTTTGAGGCAGGAGTAAATAGTAGTGTTGTCTGCATAGATGCCTACTTGGGAACCTATGACATCAGGAAGATCGTTGATGAAGATAAGGAACAGAGTAGGGCCAAGGATAGAGCCTTGGGGAACACCCGCGTTCGTGGGATAGGAGCTGGAGGAGAATTCGCTGAGAAATACCTTCAATACACGGTTTGACAGGAATGATTGTATTAAGTCGAACAATCGACCTGAATTCCATAACCCTGAAGCTTGCGAAGATGGCCGGCATGCCAAACCCTATCAAACGCTTTGGAGATATCTAGAGCCACTGCACGAGCTTTTCCGTTATTATGAAGTGCTTGGTAAACAATTTCAGTTATGGACATAAGCACATCAGCTGTAGAACGGGCAAAGCGGAAACCATATTGCTTGTCGGAGAGCCGTTCATGGGATGGAAGGTGCTTAACCACATCGGCGTTGATTAAATCTTCGAAGAGTGGTAAGAGACTGATAGGACGGTAATTAGAAGGGTCAGAACGGTCTCCAGAGTTCTTAAAGACAGGAACAATGGATGAGGACTTCCAACAGCCTGGAAAATAAGAATCATTGAGGCAATAGTTATATAATTTGGAAAGGGCAGGAGCCAGTTCAGGCGCACATTTTTGCAGGACAATGGCTGGTACCCTGTCTCCACCACTAGTCTTGTGGGGGTCTATAATTTAGAGATTATGCCCAATACCGTTGACGGGGTTATGTGCATCTCGCTCAATAGAGCTCCAGTTCTAAGGGGGAAATCGGGTATGGGTACACCGGAAGAGTCGAGCGTTGAATTGAATGAGAATTTCCGAGTAAAGCATTCAGCCTTGTCGGTAGAAGAGGTCAGAACCTCAAACTGGTTAAACAAAGGAGGTGTAGAGGGTTTGCCATTGTTAAGTACGCTCTTTCAGAGACACCAATAATCCTTGGAGCCGAATTTGCGAGATGCAATACGTTCTTTCATTCGAACAGCAAATAGTGACTTTGCTAACTTTTAACAGAGAGGGGAGGGAGAGACAGAGTCATACATTTGCCAAGGTCATCTTTACGTAAATGAGTGTAGTGAACTCAACTGGAATTCGAACTCGGCTCTTCGATTTATCATTCCCTGCCGCTATCTATTACACCACCTGCACATCCACACTGAGTGGTTTATTTAACTAATAATTACACTGGTCTGTGGCACAAGGCCAAAGAAGAAGTGTGGAAGAGCTGGTCGATATTGTCTATCCTACTTCTAGCTAATCCGTCTCGCGACCCATTCTCTCTAATAATTGACGCACTCAACGCAAGAACCCATCCCTCTCAACTCAATTCTACTTTACTTTGAGTGACTCTTTTATAATTTATCTAAAAGAGTAAATTGATTGGTGCGTTACTTAAATGAGAGTTTTTCAAACCTTATAAAAGTGGGTTGAGAGCATTGAAACGAATGAAAAGAATTTTCTTGTGTGAATTTAAATTTAAATTTAAATTAAATTTGTTATAAGCAAATGCACATTAATCATAAGATTTATTATGCAAATTTATTTGACTGTTGTCGTTGCTTTCTATGGCCTACCTCGCTTCTTTCCTTCCGCAAACAATAGTCTACCACGCTTCCTTGGGAATGTTTTCCTTAAAATGTTTTCCTTAAAATTCCATGCTTTTTTCGGCACTCGTGCACATTTCTTTTATTTTTATATTAGCAGCCATAGGCCAGCTGGTGGATCAGAAAAAGCGTTCAATTAGAATGGAGCAAAAACAGCACCACGTTTAGATGTAACTGATTCTATCTTCTTCAATTACTTTCATTAGAAAAACATTTTGAATTAATACAGTTACTGATGTAACAGAAGTAGTCTGTATTTATCCAATCGAAGTTAGCCGAGGACATGAAGGGGTAAGACAGGTGTCATGAAGATCTGCTTCAAAATACAAATTATTATCAGAAGAAAGTTGAATTTATCGATTTTTGACCGGTGTTATCGATTATTGACTTTTTAAAAATTATCAATTTTTTTAGGCTAAGAACCTATCTCTTACATAGTACAATGTATGTAGCAAGTTTGATTAAAATCGGTTGGATAGATCTCGAGTGAAAAGGTATGACACAGATAGACAGACATACAGACATCATCTATTTTATATATATAGATTGGCGAATGTTCATCGGAAGATGATTGAAATGACGAATAAATCAGTTAAGAAAAATTGCTACCATTTTTGTTTAAAATGAAACGAACAAATTGAAATAATTTTAATAAATTTATCTTTAATTTATAGAAGGTTACAAAACCGTAAAAATAATCTTAGATGTCAATAATATAAGTGATCGATAGTTATAAAATGGCACTGTTGATTATTTATGTCTAATTTATTTAAATAATCCACGGATTATCGTTTGCGTCAGGTGGCAATATTTATTTTACAAAAGAGTCCATTTGTATGTAGCACAAGGAAGAAGGGTTTGGGTGAAGGGCTGGTCGTCACTGTCCATCCCTAGCAAATCCGATTCACGACCCATTCATTCTAACAAATGACCCAATCATCGCAAGTCCTCATCGATCTCCATTCAATCCGAATATGTAACAAATGACCCAATCATCGCAAGTCTTCATCGATCTCCATTCAATCCGAATATGTAACAAAATGCCGTATTTTCGCAGGCGACCTAATAATAAATCCAGGAATATGAAACTTTCCAAATATGTACAAGTTTTTTTTTTACACACACACACACACACACACACACATATATATATATATATTTATAATGACATGACAGGGGCGCGAGTGAACCCATTAAATCAAAATAAAAGATAAACTAAACATTTAATTTATTGTGTTTGTGAGGAACAGACCAATATACAAAAATCAGAATGGTTGCTGTATTCTGCCAGTGTACAGAATTAAGAAGCGTAAATGATTTTGTAAGTGTAGTTTGGACGCGGCACAAGGCCGAAAGTGTGGAGCACCCACTGATAATCGAACTCATTATTCAGTCGTAATTGATTTAGCGCAGCAAGCTTGCTAACCATTACACCACGTCGAAGTGTAAGTCACGTGTCAATAATTGTAGGTAAAATGTTGGGCTAAAATAAGTAGTCAAGTAATCGTTTTAAGTTTAAGACAATCGGTGCTTTATTTTAATACATTTAAAGAGTTTTTAGTATCATTTTTCTTTTCATTCACTTGTTAATACAGATTTAAAAAAAAAAAAAATTCAGTCGCTAACCTTTTTTGATTTTAAATAAGACTTTGCTTTTTCTCACCCTCATTTTTTTTTGCCAATCAGTAAAAACACCACGTGAGATGCTAATTAACATAAAAAACATTTATAAATTGGATTGCGCGCTCATATAAATACCAGAGCTGTGTTGAGTTATCCGCCCTTGTTTCCGCTTTCGCCATGTCAGTTGTGTTAGCCCGCAATGCGCAGGATTTCGCTCACCAAGTGTCATCTCTCGCCGACACTCAGGGCTTCTATGATAACCTCAGCATGGATAGCAGTCGCCTCACTTCCAACATTGTAGTGGGCATTACAAACGATAATAGTTGTAGTAGTAACAGCAGTTCTGAGTCTCATCGCAATGACGAAGCCGTAAGTTTTAATTCTCGAGTCTTTAAATCGCGAGCCTGTGAGTACGTGGAAGAAAGTCTTGTCGAACCAACTAAATCACTGCTTCTCAGTTCGTCGCCCGTTTCTGACTATGACTCCCACTCTAAGGAACAGAAAGATTCCGGAAAGTCGCGTTTGAGTGTTACTGAGCATGGAATTGGTGGAACTGAAAGTTCAGGAGAAAATGCTGACAATTCCTTCTGTACACGTCCGTCGGAACCGAGCGATAAAGGACCCCCGCAGAACGCACCTTGCTCCAGACCTAATTACCGTAATGATGGGATTTCTGAATCTGGAAATATTGTCTTCGTGTCTGGTCTAAATTCAGAGACGACCGTCTCGCAGCTAGTCGAGCTATTTGGCGGCAGAGAGGTCCTAAAAAGCAATAATAATGGCGAACCGGACGTTCACATTCATCTAGACCGGATGACTGGGAAGAGCCGTGGACAAGCGACGGTGGCCTTCAGGACTTCTGATCTTGCTCAGTCGGCGATTAAAAAGTTGAATGATAGCGAGTTTCTCGGTGGAAGGCTTACAGTTCAGCCATACAGAAAGAAAACCTGGCCTTCTCGAAGGGGACCTGGCTTTGGCTATGTCAGAGAATATCTTCCGTGTCGGTGTTGGGATTGGCCTCACCGCCATGGTAACGACTTCTACAATCCTATCTACCCTGATACTCGACTCTCGTCTCGGAGTTATCACGGTGGCTACCACGGGATGAGTGGTTATCGCTCTGATGTCTACGACAGAATGCACTGTCCAGATCCATACTTTCAAGGAAATTACTCGAGAAATCGTATTCGCAGAGATGACTTCCAGTTTCAAAGGTACGCTCCAGACATGGTACCTGAAACTAATTCTGGACCCTATTTCCACTGTCATTCAAGAACTAGTAGGCCTTGTTGGGACGGATACCAAAGAAACTGCTTTAGCATGGGCGGCTATGGTGGCTTCACAAGACCTCAAAATAACCCGCGAGATTTCTATCCACGATCTATTTACGGGAGAGGAAGAATGTCCTCTGAAAGTGAAAGGTCTCATAAGTCTTGGAAAATGGACGTCCCACTCATAAGCGATTCTAACAAGTATGGTGACAGATATTCGTACCGCGGTCATTAAGGTCTAAACATTTTAACGTTTCGTTTCGAAAATAGCTTCGTCTATTTTGGGTTAATTTAATCACTTTTGTATTCGGCCAATTTAATGGCAGACTATCTGCTCTCTCCTCCGCCGCCACACACTTTCGAGTATTGTAAGCTTTAACTTTATTACTGGTTGCTGTAGTTCGGTTGTCTGAAAGTTCATCCCGAATCTGACCAGTTCCGTTTTTCGTTCTTTTAAACTTTCGTTTATTTATTTTCTAAAAACCAGTCTCCTGTCTTTTCACACGAGTCCAAATTTTAACGCTAACAAGAGAAATAAAATTTGTTTTTAAAATCTTTTAACGGAGGCTTAACAGAACTTTAATATCAAAATAAGTAAAAATATTAATACTCCGAAAGTTCGTGGATTTCTCTTCAAAAATGTTACTGTATACGATTACCTTCGCCCAAATTATTTAAATATTCTGTGTTTATAAGTTACCGTCGTTATAATTGTTTGAATTTGAATAAATATTTAATAAAATATTGTCGTTGATATTTTAGTTGTGCTCTGTTAACTGATCATAAACCGACCACGATTATGAATTGTTTTCGTCCTTGTAGTACTATAATTTGGTTTGAATTAGTCACAGGCTAAAAGTACATTGCTTTGAACTGATGGTTGGATATTCTTTGATTTGCTGTCTCCGATATTAAAACGTCTAATTTCGATGCATTAACTTAAGAATTAAGATTAATCAGAATTTTCAAATACGAAAACCTTAGTTTTCTCGTCCATATAATTCTGTTTGTTTTTCCGTTAGTCAGCACGTCCGTTACGCCTTCTCATTCTCTGGTAGATAATGAGCCATTCCGTTCTTATTGTGAGGAAAGTCTGAAGATAGACTTCCCCCCCCCCCGCTATAAAAGACGAAACGCTGTCCTGCACTTACCATTTATTTTAGTGACAACCAACTTTTTATCTTTTAATTTGTAATCGACTTTTTAAATGACGTACTTTCATACTTGTTTCAATATTCTGTTAGTCTCTCAAATATTTAACAATTCCTTAGTAGAAATTCCACGTGGAACTCCTAAGGATCTAATTGACTCCTTCCGATTCATCGGAAAATTAAACTAGAAAAACCCTGAAGTTTCACGTGTACTACTGGCATTATTACTTGACCGTTTTGAAATTTCCAAGGTGAATCCATGTCCGCAGCCTGGCACGTAGTTTGTACCTGAATTTTGATCTTACAATCTCGCTGTAGTGCCTTGACAAAAGGTTATTGGCGGGGCGGGGGAAATCATCTTGAGGTAAAGTAAACTTTCTTCCCCCCCCCCCCAAAAAAAATACATAAAGGCTGCCGATTTGGGGACCTTGACGTGGCGTAATAGCTAGCAAATTTTCTCGATTGAACAATAACTGAGTAAGTTCGTACCTCACTGGGTGCCCCCATACTTTCAGCCTTGTCACATCTCAGCCAGGCTTAGAAAAATCAAAAGTTGCCAATTTAATGCCGTACTAATTGGTATCAAATAAGTATCACCGCTATAAAAAAAACAAAAAACAAAGTCCTATTTAGTAGAAGCTGCCCAGTTCTCACTTCACACTCTCGATAATTGCCTCCGCATCCTTGTGGGTGATAAATTATTTTCCACCCTACGTCTCCTTTCTCAAAAGACGAAACATCGCAAGCATCTCGCTGTTCTTTCGCTATTTCCATTGTTCAGACGCATCGATATTCCTTAGTTCTACCAGTTCTAAACTTAATGACTAAGACCCGCTATTCTGTGAACGTTGTAGCCAACCACCCTCATTCCCATTGGTGAGAAGTAATTTCCGCGAACCACTGCTCTGTGGAAGGGACTACCCTGCTCACTACAATCTTAACCTGTTCAAGTCTGGGGCTAACCGTTAACAACTCCTATCCGCATAAATTCTCTCTCATTCTGTAATCCATTATCTTGAGTTCTTCCCGCGACCTTTTACACTATTAAAAAAAACAACCCAAAAACATACATACATTTCTCTGTAATACAATCTTCTATCAGTTTGGTGTTTTCTAGGTGTAAGTTAGATGTGGTATATTTGTACAAGGCCGAAAGTCTGCAGCACCCAGTGAGGATCGAACTCTATTCAGTCGTAATTAAGCAAGACAAGATTGCTAACATTACACCACATCGAAGGCCCTAAGTGTAGTTTAGATGTGGCACAAGGCCGAATGTGTAGAGCACCGAGCGTACTATACAGTTGTAATCTATCTAGCGAGACAAGTTCCCAATCTTCTTTGATCTTGTGCTGCATTGAACTTTCTCCATGCCATTTACAAGTTATTATTTTGTGCACCTTACCCTTCGTCTTCACAAGCACCTAGCTACAACACTGCTTTGAGGTCACTTAGAGCGTTACTCGAATAAAATCTTAATTGTTATTTCTCATTAGAAACAAAAAGTGTTCATCTAAAACTGGCAATATTTTTATGCTGGGCCAGTTTAGATATAACGAAGGACAGTTTGATATTTTTTTTTTTTCTGTTAATTCACTCCGAAATATTAATTCACACCTAATTTTCCCAGAGCAAGGCCCTTTCATTGCACTCCGGTTGGGTTGACCTTTGTAATTTCTCTAAATGTAGACGACTACTCTGGTGTGCTATTTCTAAGTGTGGGGTCTAGATTCGCGCCACCTCGATAAACAAGCCAAACACAGATTATTTCCTTGTAAGTACCACGAATATCATCACTACTACGAAATGTGAATAACGTCCTGATTTTTCAGAATTTTACATTCTGAGGGTTAGTTGTTGCGATGTAAGCTAAATAAATTTTGATTTTATGATTTCAAGATTGCCAAACAATAAAAAAAAAAACAATTTTGATTTATAATTTGTAGTTGTGAAATAATATTTACGATAAGTAATTTTACATTTGGGGGGCGAATTAACAGAAAATATCCAAACAGTTTAGAATTGTTTTAATTTTTCGTAGATTATGAAAAACGGTGAATATATCGCTGTCTGTTAGAACTTTGCACAAATTGTTACAGGATTTTGTTAAAAAAAAAATTTTTTTCAACTTATTTTGCTCAAAGCACCATTTTCAACACAAGTCAGAATGTCATTTCCTCCTTTTCTAAGATTGCCCGACCCAAAAATAAATTCCAAATAATATGTAGATATTATTGAAAATCTTCATTCTATTTCATATTAGTACATTTTACATAGATTATTTTTATCGCGGATTTTTTTTATAGCGATAGAAAATGTTGATGGATTTTTAAACTTTAATACCTGTAGAAGAATTAGTTTTAATTAATAACTAAGTATTAAATAAACTGACGTATACTTCAATAAATAAAAAGTTCAATAGAACGCCAGGGCATTGGAATTCAATAAACAAAATTCTGTAAATAAAAAAATAAATCCCTTCCTAAAAACCCAGAAATTTCCCGTTGGGGGTGAATTTTTCCCCAGTTGAGAAACTCTGTAATAAAGGAATGTTAAACGAAATATCCTTAACGTTTTTCAGGGGAGGGGGGGGTAATAATGTTGAAATTAGTCGTTTCTATGTTGACATTCAGTGACCGAACAGTTGGGATTAGTGTCGGTTCTTATTTATTGTAAAATCTTTCTCTTAAAACAGTTATTGCTCTTTCAAATACTGCTTTGAGGTCACTTAGAGCGTTACTCGAATTTCAAAATTAGGGGTTTCCATCCTAGATCCATCCTGGGTAAGACGATAAACTACATCCAACAGCAAGATCTCTGATCAGGTGATTTTGAGGAACGTGGAACCACCTCTTAATTGCTGGTATTCACAGGGCCACCCTGACATGGGGTGGTAGCACCTGTTAGGGTCCCAGCTATGGGCAAATAGTTAACTCCTGAACTGGGGTCAAAACACCATGAAAGTGTAAAAATAGGTTTTAATACCAGAAATACTTTGTAAAACCAAATTATTGCCAGAAATACATATTTGGAGGAAAAATGTTACCAGAAATAGATTTTTGAAAAAAAAAAAATTTTATCGGCATTAAATAACATTGAAAAAACATTGCTGTAAAAGAAAATCAAACCAAACCTTCCTAGCTTTTTTTTTCCTTTTCTTTTTGATAATATGGCAAGTTACTACCTTGACGATATCACTTCTGAGCTATCAATTTTTATTGCTGTCCCCATTTTGCTATGGCTTCTATTTGGTAAAGGATTTTATGATTTTATCGCATCAGGGTATAGGGTCTGAAGAAAGAGCATCTTCTTTAAGACTTAAAGGATTCATTCATTTGATGGCTTATATATAAAGAGAGAGGGGGCAACAATCTCTATGTTGTATTGTAAATATAAAGGTGTACACTGAGGTCAACACAATAAACATGGCCTGCAGATTGCGTTTAACCATGAAACAGACTATCACCACTCAGTATGGGTCCCAGTGGCCACTTTTATATTTACACACGTTGTATCACTGATGTTGAGCGCATTTACCCATAAATATAGCAACCATAAAACTATATTTTCATTATACAAGAAATTTTTTATTTATTAGTCTGACAGATTTTCATTATTTAAAACGCAGGTTCGAATCCTGCCGGAGATCACATTTTTCTCTAATAAGATTCCTCGACTATGTGAACGAAAATGAATACACAATTTAATAAATAAATGGAGTATCTACTCAGATACAGTTTTATAATAAAAATAACGTTTAAATTGATAAATATCTCCATGAGATCGCTAAAAAAAGAGTATATCATAATGAAAAAGACGAAAACATAATTTTATCGTCTAAATGTTTGTTATTATTAAGAGAAAAGATCAAACTATTTTTGGGGTATTTTATTCCATTTTTTAATCGTTCCTAGCACGTTCGAAATTTTCGTTAAAAATCTTGGTTTTTTTTTTATAAAAAAACTGGAAATCTCACTTTGAAATTCTTTTAAATATCAATTATCATTTTTTCAAAACTTATTTTAAGAAAATCAGAAATTATAATGTTTATTTAAAATATTTTGAACCAAGCTTAAAACATGTAATT